ATAACTAATGAGTATTATAATAGTACACATCTCTCAAGTGATCAATTAATTTGGTAGAAAATAGGTCGAGGATGTGCTAGATATGTTAACATACCTACTTATAAATAATTTAGTTTAAAAAAAAACATTTTACATACATTCATTATTTGCGCTAAAATTGTGTTTAAAAATAAAGTCAGTAAATTATTCGTTCTTTTTACTGACAAGGGACAATATAGTCAATAAGTATAAGGTACCCCGGTTCATATTTTATTTATAGTGTATTTTGCAATAGAGTTTAAAGTTTAACATTATATGAAATTAAACTCAGAGATGACGGTGCAAACATTATTATGATATATTATATTATTTATATAGTATTTTACATTTATAACTTTTGTGGCATGGTAAATTTTTCTATAGTTCATCTTGCGTTATTAAAACCAAGCGGACTTATAAACTTTCAATCCCCCTTCCCAACAAAAAGGTTCACTCGCCTCTTCAGTTGTATACATTTTGTTGCCAAATTGTCTATTTAGTTATAATGCAAAACTAACCAGCAATGGCTTGCAGATGTATCCTAGTGTAAGTGTTTTGATATAGAAAAAGATCATGACGGGCGTATACTTTTATGATTTGCTATGTTTTACGATCATAAATGTACATCATAAAAGGTAGGTAATAGGTATAACAATATAATAAATCATATTATACATATAATAAATAACTATAGTCTATAACATCATCGATACTATACTATTTGTAATGAATAATCAGGAATGCAATCAGTTTATCAACGTTGACATAATAATAACAATAATTATGTTAATATTTAATACGATAATAAATTTGAGTTCAAGATCTAACCAAATGTAAAACTTATTGTTCAGACTTCTTATATTCAACTAGTAGGTTCATCGTACCTATATTATAATAAAATACTAATCTGTGTATGATCCAATTAAGTGGGAAATAATTGCCTGTTAAAGGGTGGTCGCTGATCGTTAGGTGTATCAGAATTCAGAATTATACATGATCAGTGTCCTGCAGTGAGATACAAGCCAAAATCGTTTTAATTAGGTACCTATGAAAGTTTACTGCATATCTTAGAGGTGAGTTTTTCGTTATTTTTAAGGATTTAACTAGAATTTATTTTGTACATAAATATCATGTACAAATTTAATATCACACATAATATAATAAGTGGTTATATAAATAGTAAATACCCACTGTTGTTACTAAATTTTAATGGATAAGTCATACAACTATTTTTTGTAGGTAGATACTTATTAACATAAACGCATTGGCGTTTTGGAGGGGCGTGAGGGAGGGGGGATAGGGGCATTTGAATTTAATTTTTATGTTTGTGTGGTATCAAAACTGGGGTTGGGATTTCGGAAGTAATACTTATAGGCTAGAATTCATCTGCATTGATATGCATTTTCGACAACGTCCCTTAACAAATTTAGTATTTTTAATGTCGTCAAATCGCCTCATATATTACAAATATAGTACAAATTATCTAGGTAATTTTTATACTGCATATTTTAACTAGAAGCGAAAAAAAAATCCATGTCTTATTATGGTGTGTTCAAATGATACCGGCCCACTAGTTGTTGGGAGATTGAGGGCAACTGGCAAGTGTACCATACTGTAGAATGAAGATAGTAATTTTTTTAGTATTTTAAAGAGTAGTCTACTGTAATCAGTGTTATTATAAAATCAACCTTTCACAAAAAAATGTAATAGGTAATAAAAATAATAAAATGTTAGTAATTTTTTTTTTATTTGAATAAATAATGACACTAGTTTAATTTACAATGAAAGATTTTTTTTAAAAGAGAACTCTCTTTTTGTATAATTTTTTTATAATTATTATACTAGGATGAGTGTTAATGAGAAAAAGTTTAAGTTAAGTTAAAAACTGAGTTAAAAAAAAGAACATTAATTTGCCCAGCCTTGTTATTAAATCGATACAATTATAATTTATACTTATAGATAAATATTATCTATCATTTTTAAAAGTATCAGTTGAATATCATACCAAAATAAAAATTTAATGTATATTTTCATATTAAAAAAAGGTGGGCAAGTGGGTGTCGCTCTACTGTACAGTAGGTTACAAGTCTGTCACTGTATAATAGATATAGTATTAAATTTGAATTCAATGATATAATATCATTGTATAAGAAAAACGATTCTGAGCGTAGATGGTATGTCAGTCTAGGTGACTAGGTATAAGATATATTATATACATATCTATGGTATTAAACAAAAAATTGACCCATTATAGGTACCTATAATAAATTCCAAATTAATCATATCAAAATATTCATTAGGTACTCATAACGCGTTATACATCAACAAAAACCGTGATACTATCATAGATATATAATAGTACACTTTAGAAGTTTCAAGTACCCACGAATAACATTATTCAATCACAACAAAATAACTAAAATAGTTATTCTAGGATTTTTAATATGTAATTTCGTCCAAATTTGAATTTAAAATGTCTGTAAAAAATAACTGTGTTCATATATTTTTTAGATTTTTGGTTACAGTATGAACTATTTATGAGAACCTTTGTTTTAAATTTGCAATCCTTAGGTATAAAAACTGAACATTTTATAATTTATTAATTACAATGATTGATAATTTTCGAGATTTTGATACATTTTGTCAAAATTCCAACTTTAAATGCTTATAAAAAAAAATTGTGCCTATGTATTTTCAATGTTTTTGAACTGATATTGTAATAATATATCAGGAGTCTTGTATTAAATTTTTACACTTTTTTCCCAACAGATAAAACTTAATTGATATTTATAGAAAAAAAAACTACAAAAATTGAAAACTGAAAATGTCCGTAAACAGCTCAAAAAGAGTCAAAATTTTATGGTGTATAGGAAATGTTAATTTAAACATTCAGTGAAATTTTCATGTATCTACAGTTGTTCGTTTTTGAATTACAACAAAATAATCAAATCGCTACATGAGAAATCGAGTGAATATCCAATGTTGTAAAAATTTGAATTACAAACGCTCATAAAAATTTAATTTGACTTTCTTATAGAAATTTTTTTTTTTGATAAAGGTAGATAATCTTATAAGGAATCATGTATTACATTTTCAAATCTTAGATTTAAAAAGAAAAAAATTTACGAATTCTTAACTCAAAATAATTTGCTAATTTTCGTGATTTTTCCATATTTTGTCAACTTTTGAACTTTAAATGCTTATAAAAAAAAATTGTGACCTAGGATTTTTAATATTTTTCATCAGCCTTTGAAACAATATACTAGGAGCCTTCTATTAAATTTTCAAGCTTTCGCAACCAACAAATAAAACTTAATTGATATTTATAGAAAAAAAAACTAAAAAAATTGAAAACTGAAAATGTCCGTAAACAGTTCAAAATAAATCAAAATATTTTGAAAATGTTATCGTGTATAGAAAATGCAAATATAAACAACCAGTGAAAATTTCATGTATATACGTTAATTTGTTTTAGAGTTACACCAAAAACCAAAATCGATTTTTTGGAAAACCATTTTTTCGTAAAAATTCCCGTTTTTCCTTAATTTTTATGTTGTTTTTCCCGGCGCTTGTGAAAACTACTGAGAAATTTTTACTTTTGACCCCCCAAAGTACCAACTAGATTCACTTTCCTATCAGAAAAGCTACTGTTGAAGAAAATCCAAGCACTTTAACTGTCCTAAAACGTGATGACAGACTCAATAAAAAATGAAAAAAAAAATATATGGCCCAATCCGTTCCTGATCAGGTTAAATACTTAAATAATGTAAATTTAGATTAAATATAAAAACTGTTTAGAAAATAATAATGTGAATTATTTACTCAGGTAAGACCCTAAGTCCCTAACCGAACTAAAATCCTGCTTACGTTACTGCCAAAGGGCTAAACCTAAGTCTGTTCTTCCAAATTTAATCGACTAGGGCGGCCGGGCTGCATAAAAAGCACACCCTCCGGGTGCCAAATTCCAATAGCCATTGCTCGGGAAATACTCCGAAATAGGAAAAAATCAACAAAGTACACTGTAGTGAAAAATATTTATTGGGACCTCGATGTAGAGAAGTCTAGAAGATAATAATATCTTCTCTACATCGTTATTGGAACATATTATTTTTGAAATAATTGGGGGGCCGGGGGATGCCTCCTTCCCCCTTCCACTGGATCCGCCGCTGTTCAAGATAGAATCTATCATAAACCGGGGTACCAAAGTACCAAACTATCAACGTTCTCTTGTTCAAATAACATATATTTGCTCCAATGAATATTTCTTTCAAAAATGTTTGGAACAAAAGTCTTTGGGACAAATGTCTATTGGAACATTTGGAACGAATAATTGTGGAACATGAAATACAGTCCCAAAACACGGACATTCTTGATTGCACGTTTTCCCCCCCAAAACAACAATGTAACGACTAACGAACGTCTAAAACAACCAGTCCCGACTTCACGACTCGAGACGCTCATTCTAATTTTTAACTTTTTAGTTTTTAATGTTTCAGCAAATAATTTAAAGCTTTACCGTTTAGATGTAAATTTAAAGTATTTAGTTTCAGTGGTTTCACACTTTCAGATAATAGACTATACTTTTTGGCGTTCACTCTTCAGTGACTTCATGAAAGAAGAACAACATTGTATGATCGCAAAGTCCACTCAGTCCTGATTTGGTTCAAGTCCTCTATAAACTTCACTTACTTACCCATATTATCATAATATTATTGTCATTAAATTATTGTAACTATACACTACGCTACATCACGTGCCTATCAAAGGATCTGACCGACAAAAAGTTACGATCCATGTTGTTTATATCATGAGTAACTCAGTGTCTCAGTCTATTGTTAGTTGTTACTACTAGGGTTACAAATAATAACCATTAAATTAACCGATTGGTCTTATCCTCGTGTAAGTTGGTCTCTAAACATAGCTAATAAAATCCTCAGTTAAGTATAATACCTATTTATTATTTGTATTGTTTTAGGATAAAGATGTCTTCCTTTACAACACCTCGCAAGTCTCTTCGGTTACGTAAAAATGAACCTTCGCCGTTTTTAATAAATCGAAAACGTGAATTATTCCCAGTAGATAACTGGGATGAAGACAGCCATGACATAACTCCTTTACAATCATCTCCTGAAGTGTATGATCCTGGACTTGATACTCCAGATTCATCATTTAACATGAATCGCACTCCAAACACTGAATTAAGTCCCACTATGAGTGATAAATTTGAAAGACTTATGTCAGGATCAAAGAATGGACATAATTGTTCAGCAACAATTGTCATCGAGGAAACTCCAAATTCTAGACAAGTTAAAAATGTTAACACAACACCTTTTGAATCGGAGACTAACAAAGCTGCTAAAACTCCTTCAAAGAAAAGCTTTGGTTTAAATAATAAGGCTGTATTAGGAGTAAAAACGTTATCCTTTTATGGAAGAAATCAAGTAAGAAATTTAAATGAATTGCTAATAATTGAATAGGTACATGCATTATTTACTATTGTATATGTTTTAATTACAAATTTTGCACAATATTAATTGCATTTTTGAATTATTCACAAACCAATCTTTAATCATTTGCGTACCTGTTTATTGATAGATATCATTGGAAGATCTTCGTATGAAAAGATTTGCTCGCTTAAATTGTAATTCAAAAGTAAAAGCTAAGCTGTTTAAAGATAAAAAATCAACGAGTAAGAAAAGACCAAGATCAACCAGTCGAGAATCAAAATCCAAGATAATTTTGTTTCCTGGTGTTACATTGCCATTTAAAAAAAAAACTATAGATAAAAAACTGAACAATGCTGAATTATGTGAAGAAAAACATGATTTAATCGAAAACAATGAAGTAGTTAAGAAAAACAGTTTTGATTTTTCTAAACCATCTTCTTCAAAAAACGTCTGGACAGAATATATTAAACAGGACAAACCCGAACGTATAAATACTGAGGATTCTGATAAAAGAAAATTTTTCAAATCAAAAGTAATTCATAACAATACACCAAATATGTAAGGATATACTTCTTATGTTATATTATTATTATGTTTCTATTTTTAATATTTTTAATTTTTCTTGCAGAAAAGATAATAGCTTTAACTTTAAAGTTGTTAACTGGGGCGATAAAAATAGGATGAGCAATGTTGATCAATCTGATTTTAATAACACTGAAATACTTGATGATGGTGCAATCGAACAAATTGGACAAGAAGTTAATGAATTAATAGAATTGTTGGATGATGAAGATGACGATGACAATTCTACAGCTGTGCGTTACCCTGGTCTTAGATCAAATTCTACAAAAAGAAATCATGATGATCGAGATGGTATTAAATTATTCACAATAAATAAAAAACTTAAATTTAATTGAATACATTCATCAGAATATTAAACTACCTTATAGAGATGTGTATGCATTTTGAGATAATTTTTTTATAGGATAAAATTTTAAAATTTATATCCCATTCAATAATAATTTCAATAATTATAAATTATTGTTTAGATGAAGATTCATGTAAAGGGCTAGACTCAAAACGTTTGAAGTCAGATGTACAAAGCCACAACCATATCATTTTCAGAAGTCAAATGCCAGATTTGATTAGAGATACTTATGCTGTCGATGGAAATTATCATTCAGCTTATTCATCACACAAAGAGTAAGTCAAAAAGTAATTATAATTAAATTACAATTTTTTTTTATGCTAAATAAGTTATATAATATAAGGTAGGTGACATCTACGCAAACCATTAAATTTAATATGTATATGTTTAATTATTTTTTAGTGTGTCAAGTATGGTTGAACTTAATAATACGGTCTTAGATGAATCCCTTGATGAATCAATAGATGCTTCTGCAATATCAAATGTATCACCACAAACAAAGTTATTCCCTATTTTTACCAAACAAACACCTTCACCTAGTCATATTACATGGTAATTGTGTATTCATTTTTTTAACTTGAATTATTAATTATTATCTATAAAATTACATTTTAAAATAATTTATTCTAGTGAAAAACCTTTAACACGGAGAATAAAAAGAATTTTTGATGCTACTCAGTATCAAATTGATGCAGGTCAAAAGAAATTTGGTGGTTTTTTGTGCCAAGAGTGTGGTCTTTATTATTCAAGGGGTGAACCAGAAGATGAAGCAGAACATGATAAATACCATGTAGCCAAGAATATCTTTAAGTATAATGTATGTCGATTAAAATAAATTGTTTCCTTTTATAATTTACAATTAATATTTATATTTTAGAGCTTTAAAAATGAAAAAATTCTTCATCAGGACACTAATGAACGTATTGTTGTTATATCTGGCTCAGATCCTAAAATAGCATGCACTAAAGCTTTAGAAGTTATATCATTTGTTGATGTAGAACTTGGCTTTAACACACAAAACTTTATTTTACCTATGACTAAAAAGGTAATTCTTGGTTGTTTCTTGTAATAGATTACTTTATATCAAAAAATAACATTTGTGTAAGGTTGAGATTTAATATTTCAGGTTTATTTGTATATAAAAGACAAACAAGTAATAGGATGCCTAGTAGTAGAACTAATATCTGAGGCTTATCGTAATCTTGAAACTGAAACAGAAGACATGGTTATTGTTTCTGAAGAATCATATCCTGTAAAAGTCGGTGTTAACCGTATATGGACAAAATTGGACTGTCGTAAAAATGGAATTGCCTCAAAACTCCTAGACTGTTTCCGGTAAGATTTTTAGGCTCTTATCAGTTATTACAACTACCTGTTAAAAATGAGATCATACCTCAGTGGCGACCAGTTTTCATCCCTGATGGTGAGACGCAATGTTAATCAGTCCCTCCACAAAGTTCAGAGCTTAGGAACATGCGCACAAATTGGACGCTGAGATACGATCTTATTTTGAACAGAGTGTATATGTCATGATTTTCCAGTAAACTCAATTATGTTATTGTGACTACCACAATTTAACACTTATATTATTATAAGACAATTATGTTATTTTCTAGATAAAATAATATAAACGTAGATCTGCCCAACACAACTTAATGCATTAAGCATATTATAAATGTCATGTTTGACAGCCAATAAACCAATTATCTAAAATGTGCATTTTCTTCTCAAAAATCTGGAAATTACCATGTAAATTGCTATGGCTTTTCCATAAAGTATTGACCTTATAGTATTTAATGTAATAGATGTATTCATATAATCATATGTGTCTCAAATCTAAATTATACTTCTGATTTAGATATTTTGGAAATGTGATGTGAAATATTATAAGAAAATAGCTATCTGCGTGTTGTCGAGAATTGGTTTGTTTGCATAGCTTTACTGTGCAAATTTTTGTAGGAAAGACCTACTTATATTATTTGTCTATAAATTACAAAATTGTCTTAGAACTATATATATGTGATAGTTGCACCAGATTTAAGTTAAAAATTTAAAATCTAGAGTACTTTTTGTGTTGTTTAATTATTTAATACTAATATTAATTTTTTTAGTAAAAACTATGCTTATGGTCATGTATTGACACTTGATGAAATAGCATTTACAGTACCCACGCGTGCTGGAAAACAATTCATTAAAAAATACACCAACAAAAATGATTATTTTGTCTATACTGGATGGTAAATATGAGTTTTCAGTCCTAAGAATTTATTTTTTTATTATTTGTTATTTTTTTTTTATTGTTAAGTCCTAGTATTAAAATATGATATTTTTATAAAATTGTAGTATTTAATATTTATTTTTGACCAAGTTTTTAATAGTAGAAACACTAGAAACTTTATTTAATTACCAGATCATTAGCTTATTTTCAAATACACTAGTTTAATGTTTTCATAACTCAATGATAATTAAAATTCCATTTTTATACTTATCTAATTACAGTAGCGTAGCCAGGATTTTTCTTCTGGGGACACATAATAATAGGACATAATATCATACATTAGCATTTTATATAATTAAACAAACCCCTACTTATTGACATGAATATATGATGAATAAAAATAATTAACAATATTTAATTACTTTTAACATTTTAAATTAATTTTATTATTAAATTACCAAAAACTAAAGTGACAATTTTAATCTTTGAGCCTTTCCGCTGTTAACAAATGTATCAAATATTTCAGCGGTTCTTAACCTTTTGTAGATTGCGATATTAGGAAAAAAAGTCCCCGGTAAGAAAGTCCCACGGAAAGTCTCCAAATTAAACCCCCAAGGGGCCCCGGACCACAGGTTGAGAACCGCTGAAATATTTGATCATCTGAAATGTCAATGTCTCTATTAATAGATAATAATATGAGTCCGACCAGTCTTGACTCTGGAATTGAATTCCCCTAAGGTAGGTTTTTAGTCTTCTCAAAGAAGAAAAACTCCTTTCTGCTGTAGCAGTTGATACAGGTAGAACTGATACTAACTTTAGGAGTTGATACATGTTAGGAAACATATTTCTGTCACAGTTTGTTAATGTTTCGATTTAACATTTAAAGGTCTGAATTTTTACTCAACTGTTTTCTACTTGGACTGCCATAATTTAAATTCTGTTTCAATTAACCTGGTAAATATTCTTCATAAAATTTGTACAGCAGGTTTTAAACATGAAAATGGGCTATCAACAGCCAAATACGGCAATACATACTGTAATGATTTTATAGTAGCTTTATGAGATATAAAACTTTCTATTTTAGAGAGCAAAGCAAATTATCTAAGTATGGAATAAATATTGTAAGTCTTTAAAATTCTTCAATATCTTTAAAATATCTTTACTCCCTCGTAAATTTCATGAAACTCGACATTTGAATTTTCTCTAATTTTGTACTATAGCGACCGATGCACAATGTTATATGCATTAAATATGTATTAGCACAGATATAATATATTATAGCTGTAAAGTGTTAGTACTTATAGTAAATTTTTAAATATTATAAACACGATTTAAGACTGAGCGACTATCATAGACCATTAAAATAGTTTTTTATTTCATTAAAATTTTAGGGGGGGGGGCTACTCCACTGTCTAATTATAATATTAAATAAATGTTCATTAATGCATCTCATAATCAAGATAATTTAAAATACTGAAGAATTGTATTAAATTATTACTATTTTGTACTATTTTAACTAAATAAGTTACATTTAAGTTTCTACATCCAGATTCATCTAATTGTATAATACTTATTTTTGAACTGTAAATATGCATAGTCCTAATGTGAGCAATTTTTATAGTTTATTTACTTAACTAGAGATGGTAATATTTATATTATATTTTTTGTCTTATACATAATATTTTTTAATAATTTTGTCATAATATAATAATATAATATATATCATTTTTTATAATATATTTGTGTTTCATTTATTTGATATTATTTTGATTTTAGAAAACACAAAATAACATAATACTTACAACAGGCCTTTTTCAGAAACTTCTAGAACAATAGTTAAATGAACTTAACTGATTTTTTTACTATGATGTATACACAGGCAACAAAACGTCTTATCTATTTTGCCTTAATCACCTTGGCTTTATCAGCTGACCTTATTACATTTTAGGAGATGGAATAAAGAGTTAGATAAAAAAAAATAATTTTGAGCTATTTATAAAACATTTAAAATATTTATTTAACCAAGAAAAGACTGCATTGCATTCTTTTTGTAATATATGCCAAACATTTAAGTGATAAATTATATTGAAAATGCTTGAAGATTATTTTTTTAAACAGTTATAGAAGTAAAAGAAATAAAATATACTTCCATAACATAACAACAAATTGATAAAACAGTAATCATGATTTTAATACCTATTTTTAACATCATTTTATTCATTCATACTAAATTTGTTACATAAAATACTTATTATTGATTTTTTAAATGACAAAATAATAAATTAAACTTTAATACTATTGAGATCCGAAAAGGAATACACTAGTATATAATACTAGTTATTTTACAATAAATAAATTTGATATAATATACTCCATTCCAAATAAGATTGAAAAACTGCGCACCCTCGGAATGTAGTACTGCTATGATTGGCCAGTAGTTGGCAGCCAGCAAGACTACACAGGGCCTGAACTGCGACACATTTTCGTTGTGATTTTTTTCCAAAATTATTTGGAATAAAGTATAGTAACGTATAAAAAAATGTATTAATATAAAATTTATATATTGGTAAATTTAATTTAATCAAAAACAGAACTTTAAGTTATACTTACAAAATAAGAATTCAATTAAGTAGAAATGAATTGATTAAAATTGTGTATATCAAACTGAACACCTAACCTAACTATGTAGATTGTAGAATATGAATACATATTTTTTTGAATACATTAAAATTATAAAACAAGACCTGGTTAGAACAGACCAAGGATAGATTGGAGTAAAAACCAGCTATGGCTTAAGAATTTATAAAAGTAATTCCAAACAGGGCAATTTATATACTTGGGTTCTATTCATAACATTGACAGCCTGGAAATACATTTTTATTTTTACTGTTAACACAGTATTGCACATTATTTTGGTAATAAATTTATGTCTGCAAAATATATATGACTCATTGCTTGTTCTGCTGATATTCTATGCGATGGATTGCATACCAGAAGTCTTTGTAATAAATCTCGCATTTTCGTTGTTGATTTGGGTACTACCTGAATTAATATTTACAATAAAACATTAAACTACAATTTTATTTTTATATTATGACCACCAACCTGTACGAGTGTCATATTAGGCTGATACATCGGCATTGGCTTGAAGTCAGGCAGAGTTGTCATGTTAGGCCATGTCTCGTCAGTAGGTGTTCCCAAAAGTTTAAATATCCGTTTCAATTGATCATCTACATCTGAACCAGGAAATAGAGGTCTTCCAGCATTGGCTAACTCTAAACAACGTGTACTCTTTAATAAATTCTGTGAAAGGATATTGAAAGGAAAATAAATATACCAGCAAATATACATCCAGCAGACCACATATCAATAGACGTTGTGTAAAGTTTAGCACCAAATAGAACATCAGGAGGCCTGTACCATAAAGTAACAACTTCTGCAGAGTAACATTTAACTGGTATTCCAAAAGCTCTGGCCAAACCAAAATCGGCTAGTTTCAATTCTCCGTTCTATAGAAATAATAAATTTAAATAAAATAATAATCATCTGAATAAAATATTTTATTTGATAATTCTTCTAATTTGGTAACCTTATTTATGAGAAGATTCTGTGGCTTAAGATCTCGATGTAAGACGTTATGACTATGGCAAAATGCTAATCCACGTAATAGTTGGTACCTAAAATTATACGTTTTGCTTAATTGCATTTATCTAATGAGAAGATAGTTTTTTTAATACATGAATGATTTCACAACATTAGGATCGATTTCTCCGTTCAAACTATCGAAATATTTTTTCAAGTCTTGATCGCAGTGTTCAAAAACGAGTACCAATTTTTTATCACTATGAAGAACATCATAAAGTCGTACAATATTCTTGTGTTTCAACTCCTTCAACAAACATATTTCACGCAGAGCCGACGAGGGAACACCCTAGAAATATATTCTGTTTTAAAAACAGACATGACTATAATTCCTTAAATATATACCTCATCGTCATCATCGAGTCTCACACGTTTCAATGCAACAATCTCTAGAGTTTCACGGTTTTTGGCTTTGAACACCGTACCGTAAGTGCCTGTTAATGATGATCAAATAAGTACATAATTTATACCAATGTACTAATCGCTTTTTATTGACTTACCCTCTCCGATCTTATCTAGCTTTTCGTATTTTTGCATATTTTTAAAGAAGTATATCGAATGAGAATTTAAAATTTTAAAAGCTGTTCATCTTCTTAATCAATAACCTAATCTTATGTAAACAGTTATAATTAAAGACTAGGGAGCCTTTACATAATATTATATATTACGATTTGTATGATGTGCGGTACTGAACTACAGGACGGATTACATATAATATCTATTCTATATATTATATTCTATATATTTCTGTGAGTCGCGAGTGCACTCGGTAGTGTAAAGTGTAAACAAAACTATTACAGAATAAAGATCTATATTATAATTTATAAACAATCGAATCAGTGCTGCTGATAATGGCTTATCGGGGAAAACAATAATTTTATATATCATTTCAGGGGTTCATACCATATATACCCAATAAACCAAAGTCATGGTACATAATAAGGGGAAGATCTGATCTATATCTATCAGATAAATACACTATTCCTTATATATTTTATTGTATTTGTAACTATATAGTGCAACACTCGCGTAGTGCTAGTGATTATAGTGGAAGTTCAGTGCACACTATTTTGTCAAATCGAAAACGTTATCAGTGGTCTTAAAATTATTCGTGATTGTATTATCTATGAATTTTCCCAACAGCCAGTGGTCAGTGATAATGTGATATATTGATATGAAGATGGCATAAAAGTTATGTCAACATTGTCATTTGTCAACAGAAACAGTATATTTTATATTTATCAATAAGAAAATATAGAAAATAGGTATGGTGCTATGGTTTTTTTAAATCATTTTAGTATTCAAATGTGCATTGTTTACGTGGCACATTTGAATATTTATTAATTATTACCACAAGTAGAATGTAATTATATAATAATCTGTTCTAATACATTTTTTTAGTATACATCGATCAAATTCTCACATCAATTGCAGGATTTAAAAGGCTGATGAACCATGTTACCTCCACACAATGGTGAAATAATGCATCTTAATGTTGGTGGTACTAGGTAAAAAATAATTGATAAGATCAATACTTTGATGATGATTTAAATTAATGTTTATATTACCTATATTATAATATAAATAAATATTATATTATATATGCTTTACCTTAACAGTAAATACATTTTCTAGCTTACTCAGTGATAGATACTTTAAAACATTGTACAATTGTTACATCATGACAAATTACTAACTTCAAAATCATAATAGTACAAAGCCTTTAAAAATAAATATGATACTTAATTCAAAAATATCTGTCTTAAGGTTCTCAACATCTCGGCAAACATTAACATGGGTGCCAGATTCTTTTTTTACTGCTCTATTAAGTGGCCGTATTTCTAGTCTACGGGATGATACAGGTGCTATATTCATAGACCGTGATCCAAAAGTTTTTGCCATCATTTTAAACTATCTACGAACACATGACATAGATTTGTCTGGCACTGATATTAGAACGTTACGCCATGAAGCTGAATTTTATGGTATTATGCCTCTAGTCAAACGCCTTATTCTGTGTGAAGATCTAGAGCAATCGTCATGTGGGGACATACTGTTTTATAGCATGTTACCAGCTCCAAGTAAATACAAATTTCAATATAATTAAATACATTGTTTAAAAGTGTTAAGAAATCCTTAATCTGTATTGGACATTATATTGTATTAATTTTGACAATTTAGTATTTTATTTTACTACCTATCTCTTCTTATAATTAGTTTGATTTAAATAAAAAAAAAATGTTTTTCTGAATAATATTTTTAGACCCTCCTATGCAAGAGTCCGAAATAATTAGTAATGCAACTAAAGTAGATGATCAAACAAGACCTGGTTCAATAGTCCGTGTCCCTGAACCAGCACCACCACCAAATTCACCATCATCAATACCTCATACTCATGGTTATCAAAGGTTGGTAAATGTATTAATGTATAATATTCTGACTAGTTGGTATAATTCATTATTTCTTAAATATTAATTTTAAAATAATGGATTACAATATTAAAGTCAAACATTTTTCTAGTCGTTGTCATTCTCGTAACTCATCTTTGGACATTTCTCGAGTTACTGTAAATGGTCGTGGGTCAGTCATTAATGGACGTGGAAACGGTAATAGTGGACACTCTCGAGCAGCTTCACTCGGTAACCATGTACCCAATCACCATTCCAGAAACTCATCAGCTGATCTCAACAAGTATATTAGAAACGATGCATTAAACTTGGTTTTTGGTTATAATCAAGGTTCTAATTGGGCTGATCCATTGCGTGTCCAAATCATCAAAGCTCACCATAATTGGATTGTAGTTGCTTACGCTCATTTTATTGTTTGCTACAGGTAAATAAAAACTTTTTTTGAGTTTAGGAAACTTATGTAGCAAATTTCCATTATAAGTGGTCTAAAAATGAAAACATGTTATATGCACCAAAAGTTCTCATAGCTAATAATTTTGTTCTAAAAATATAAATTTTAACCAAAAATAAAATAAAATTATTATACTCATATTTACTCAATATGAACAGGTCACCGGTCGCAATTAATTGATTTCTTAAAATTGATTTACCTACCACACAATTTTTCCAGTTTTATTGATATTAGTATAAAATTACTATTGTATACTACTGTTGCTTAAAAAAAAATATATTCAAAGATTCTCCAATTTCTATAAATTGTTAATAAAATACAAATAAGTATATTAACATTAATATAAACCTATTTAAGCACAACTATATTACAATTCAAAATTTATTTTATAACAAGAAATTTAAGCTACTGTGGCAAATATATTTTTGATAAATAAATTCAGCTATATCTTTTATAATTGACACAAACGCATAGGGACATTGGTGTAACCTAACGTTTGTGACAAATACCTCTTTGTTTTCAATTATTATTAACTGTAATTGTCTGTAGTCAATTATGGGAACAATTGCAGTTTAGCTACCAAGCGATTTTTTCAAATTTTTTTTTCGAAACCTAGGTAAATCAACGTTTTAAAAATGATGGTACCAAAAAAAAATTGCGCAAACTCTTAGTTTTATGATTTATAACTGTTAGAAATTCAAAAATTTTTTTTTGTGGTAGACGTATGTATTTTGACTATTTAAAAACGATGGTGCAATCAGAATTTGTCTGCAGTGATTACGAGTGTATTGGCACTCGTCGCTACGCTCCTCGGCGCCGTCGCTCCGCTCCGCAAATCGAAAATATCCCCCGATTTGTTGTGTAAAACCACCTCAGGTGAACCTCGGAATTAAACAAAGTTGTTTTTTGTCAATTACAGAAGCATTTATATTTACGATATTTGGATTCAGAGAAATTATATATCTGAAAAATATAACCGGAGGCGGTAAGGCGCAACTACCTCACTTGGCGACTTGGTTCAACAAAAAAAATTTTTCTCTAAAAATCCAAAATTTTTAACTTAAAACCGCTATAACTTTCAAACTAAATTCGATCGACAAATTCTGATTGCACCATCGTTTTTAAATAGCCAAAATACATAAGTCTACCACAAAAAAAATTCAAAAAACAGTTATAACTCAAAAACTAAGAGTTTGCGCAATTTTTTTTTGGCACCATCATTTTTAAAACGTTGATTTACCTAGGTTTCGAAAAAAAAAAATTGAAAAAATCTCGTGGTAGCTAAACTGCAATTATACCCAATTATGTACTGTAACTTATATTATGTTTTATTTTATTGTGTAAATTAGAATTTATCAATTTATTATTTAGATTATTATTATTATTATTATTAACACATTAAAATAAGTAAAATAGACTAAAATTACCTTTACATCTTAAAGTATGCACTAAAAATTTAAAAAATATGATTTAAAATAGTTTGTATTTTAATTCACACATATTTTATGTTTACTTAGTAGAAAAAGTATAAAAGCTCATATATGTGTTATCTAATAGTAATGATCAGATTGCTTTTAAAAACAGCCTAATACCTATTCTTGAATGTTTAATTTCTTCCTAGATTTTTGTTGTTGTAACTTAAAAATAACATTATTATATATTAAAACAGATTAAAAGATTCAAGTGGTTGGCAACAAGTTTTCACATCGCCGCATATAGACAACTGTATTGAACGAATAGCAATTAATGCTAAAATGAACAGCCAAAATGGTAATTCTGATGGTTCCTCTGTTATGGTTGCTATATCATATGGAAATCAAGTTCGACTCTGGGGGGTATCAGAACAAGGATCTAGAACTAATATAGGTAATATTTATGTTATATTATTTTAAAAATATATAAATTTAAATTTGTAAACAAATGTGTTTAGGTACATTCAATTTGAATGTTCGTGTAGAGCATTTATTTTTTATTGGTAGCCAACTTGTTGCTTTATCACCTACTGGTAAAATAGGGGTTTGGCATGCAATGACTCAACATTGGCAAACTCAAGATGTAGTACCAATCGCATCATTTGATACGGCTGGTTCATTTCTGCTTCTTGGTTGTAATAATGGATCAATATATTATATTGGTAAGAATTATATACAAATTATATTATATTACTTACAGTTTATATATAAATTAAATTAAAATACTTTTTTAGATATGCAAAAATTTCCATTGCGAATGAAGGACAATGATTTACTAGTAACTGAGCTCTACAGAGATCCATCAAATGATCCAATCACTGCTATTTCTGTTTATTTGACTCCTAAAACAAGTAAGTCCATATAA